TGTGGGTGTTTATCATTTGAGAGAGTTGTATTTTTTTATTCTATGTAAAAATTTATGTTAAGGTGATCTATGTAATACTGCATTCAGACAATCTTTCTAGAAGTAATTATGCAGAGGGGCGCCTGGGTGGCTTAGTCGGTTAAGCGTCCGACTTTCGCTTAGGTCATGATCTCGCGGTTCGTGGGTTCGAGCCCCGCGTCGGGCTCTGTGCTGACTGCCAGCTCAGAGCCTGGAGCCTATTTCAGAGTCTGTATCTCCCTCTCTCTCTGACCCTCCCCTGCTCATGCTGTCTCTCTCTCTCTCCTAGAAATAAAAATATTTAAAAAAAAAAGAAGAAGAAGAAAGAAATCAAGAACTTAAATAAGAGACTTACCAAATTCATGAACTGGAAGACAATATAATAAAGATGTCAATTCTCTCCAAACTGATCTATAGATTTAACACAATTCCAATCAAAATCCCCACAGGATTCCTTGTAGGCAGAAACGAGTTGATCATAAAATTTATATGGAACAGTAAAAGAGCTAGATGGGTGAACACAATTTTGAAAAAGAATCCAGCGAAATAGTCTATATAAATAGACCCATACAATTACAGCCAATTGGGTTTTTTTAAATATTTATTTTTGAGAGAGTGGGGGAGGGGCAGAGAAAGAGAGGGAGACAGCCTCTCAAGCAGGCTCCACACTGCTGGCACAGAGCCCGTATGCAGGGCTCGAACCCACGAACCGCGAGATCATGACCTGAGCCGAAATCAGGCGTCGGACTCTTACCCGGCTGAGCCACCCAGGTCCCCCCAGCTAATTAGTCTTTGACAAAGCTGCTGCTAACCTTGAAAATAAAACTGCCACTTATTCAGCAAAAGATGGGTTTATTCAGGAATAGCAGAGAACTGCGATCCCCGACCAGCAAGCTGCAGCAAAACCACAGGCAAACCCAGAGAATAAAGGCGACGAGCGCTGTGTTACAGAGCGGGGAGTGCGGGGGGGGCGCTATCAACTACAAGTCCACGAGCGTAAACTGGGAGCTGCAAGTCCAGCGGGTTCTCACTGGGTGAGTTATGGCAGCCTCGCCCGGCTGGGCTGCGGGGGCGGGATGGCGGTGTAAGAAACCTTCCTTCCTCCCGCGGGGATGGTAAAGTAGTACCTAAGCGCGAGGAGCCCTCTCCTCCCGCTGGGTGAGCCACCGACAAGTGACCGGGTTGAAAGCGCCCCCTGCTGGCCTCCAACTGCATTGTAAACGACGTTCTCCTTTTATTAGCTTTCACAGTACAAATACAATTCAATGGAGAAAGGACACTTTTTTCATTTTCAACAAATGGCACTGGAACAATTGGACATCTACCTACAAAATAATCAACCTCGACCCAATAATTAGACTTCTAGTTACAAAAAAAAAAAAATGAACCTCAACCTATCATACTTTAAACAGGAGTTAA